CACACACACACACACACACACACACACACACACACACACAAACACACACACGCACACACGCACACATACACACATCACACTTATACATCATCAATACTGTACAGATACCTTCACTCCCCCCCCCCCTCTTTAGAAATTGCCTTCTTTGCAATAATGATATAAACGGCATTAGCAACGATTAGTCTCTTCAAACTTCAGCCACGGCTGGAGATCACTGAGCGCTGAACAGTAGTTCAAGAAAATTAATAAATAGCAGTAGAGTCATTACTTACTCTGCAGGCAGCAGGATAGAACTTAATTTAGGTGGATTCGTTGGGAAGAACAGAGGTAAAAATCAGTGGTTGAACTATCTAAAGTACGGTAAAAAATTCGTGGCGTGGCAGAATTTATGCTCAAATATCTCTTAAACGGGTGAATCACCGTCATTCATACTTTGCACAGCAGTTTGCATCAGTTTGTCTTAACTTAATCATATTTTCCCACAACATGAAAAGATTGACAAACTTTTCTTCGTGAATTTATATGAAATACTATAAATCTCCGTCACGCGGAAAATGCGGTTGTTCACAGCACTTTCCGCTTCTTGCACATATTTTGTATACGCATATTATGGCTTGCGTCAATGTGACGGCTCACTAATGACACCTTTTAGTGGCAAAACATTTTACAAGAAATTAATTTCAAGGTTCTCAAAAAACAGGCGTTCAATAAACATAAAGTCTCAATTAGAATACAATGACGGACTTGCTTTTAAAAGCGACATTGCGGAGAGGTAAACTTTTTAAAAGCTCTAGAAACCATCGACTTGGATTTTTAAATCTAGTATTTATTAAGGAATTTTCTATAATAAAATGTACAAGTGTCTCCAAAAAAATCACCAGTTAAGATAAAAATTGTTATAAGTCATTGTGCAAACGTTGGAGAATCTATGTTGAATAGGAGGTATTTGAAAAAAAAATTATGCCACGGATTTTTGACTGCACTTTAAGCAACTGTCTGGTTCGCTTGTCACTTTGCTGGAAATCCTGACCTGAGACTCTTTCTTTACAGTCTTGATTATGCATTAATGTTTTGATTTAATGTGATTTCCTTTAATCTATTTTACGTAGAAAATGAAGCATTTTATAACACACCCTCGCCCCCAAACCCAGCATCCTCACATTTTCACAGCTCACCCCCAGTACCTCTACCGCCCCCCCACAAAAAACAAACAAACAACCCACTCAACCACCCTCCCACCCCCC